CTCCAATCATTTTAAAATCAAATGTTAAAAACACAACTGAATTGAAATTTCGAACGACAATCGCCAATCCTGTGATGGCATTATCGAACATTCTAACTGATTTTTCGTACGAACGTTAGTGCAAAAATTTACCCCTGTATACCCTACTTTACTCTTGCCATGTACAAATATGTAACTTTGGATAATTTTCCTCAAATAAATGAAGTATAATTAACTGACTCTTTTGTATAATTCGGTCCTCTCTTTGTAGTTTTATGACTAGAAAAACACCACCTTTTAGGTTATATTAATGCAGAGATATTGAGAAATCCAGCAGTATTTATCAGCTTTTATTTATTTTATAACATTTATTGATCGCATTCTTTAAAACATTTTATTTTTTCAGTGTTGTCCTGGCTAATTTTGAAGAAGCCCAGAAAACACAGGTTCGGGTAGTAATGGGGCATGCAATACAGAAAGTAGAGGCATTCAGTGAACCAGATGACATCATTAGAAAGAGACTATCACATATTTTCAGCCTTTGTGAAACCAGTTTACACACTAGTGAGGATCTAGAGACAAGAAAACAAAGCTTGAAAAGTTGGCTGGAGCAAAACAATATTCCCATTACTGTACAAGGAGAATCACAGAGGACATTGTGTGTAGCTGGAGTACTAAGTATTGACCCTCCCTATGGACCAGATAACTGCAGTAGCACTAATGAAATTATATTGTCTCGCGTACAAGGACTGTTACAAAGCTATCTGACGAGCCAGTGCAACACTATATTTTAACACTTTTCTGTTCAGACAAATAAAAAGATTAAACTGATGCATATGTGTTTTATTCTATTTTTATTCAAGACCGATAAACAAATCAAGATCCTGACATTTATAACAGAACAAAAGCGTAATCAAAAGGGTAGCAATAGCTCAATAGTAGCTATTACTTCAGAATTTGAGCATTGATTGTGATAACTGGCCATTTCCAATGTATGTCAATGTGTGCTTTCTGTCATGGCCAGACTTTCTTCACTTAGACACTGTCACCAACCAAAAATTGCAGGCAAAAGCACAAAAAAAATCAAGTTCCAGGTGTTTAGACCCCCTTCCTTGCCAGGCCATTTTTCAG